AATTTTATATTTTTTCGCAGTATATAAAATGGAGTTGGAGTTAATAAATTCTAACAAAAAATACCCTCAGGTTGCGCATAAGGGATTTTTGTACAATTTCCATAAAGAATGCTCTAATTTTCTTCGTTGGAGATGTTCAAAAAACAGCTCTATGAAGTGTCCATGTTTTTTGAAAACTAATTTGAACATAGCTAAGCCAACAAGTTATGTGGACATAAACATCCAACTATTTGGAAACTAATTAGGAAAATAAAAATGGAAATTTCCGCAGATGAAGCGAAATTAGCTTTAGATGCTATAGGAGATTCAAAAACTGTTAAAAAACTAGGGCAAACTCGGACAGTAGAAAAACGGCTGCAAAATGTATGTATACAAATACAAGCGGGCAATATCGGTGTTTTAGATTTTTTAACAGCCGTAAGTCAAGTCATAATATAAGAAAGAGGTGTACCTAATTATAATATTACATTTTTATAACATTATTATTATAATTATATTATTATTATTTACTTTTATTTGACTTACTTATTATTGACTATTTATTATTGTAATAAATTGTAAGTAATTAACATCTTTTATGATATTATATAACTTTGTATGTATTTATATATTCATCGGGACTTTTTTTACCGGGACTTTTTTACCGGGACTTTTTTTTCCGGGACTTTTTTTACCAGGACTTTTTTTTCCGCGATTCAAATAAAACAGTCGCTAATCCTCGCCATAACAATAATTATAGCAACGCAATACCTAAACTGGCTAATCAGCACGTTCATAATAACAAAGATAACACTAATAACCTTTATACGTATGCCTCTGCTTGCAAAAATAACTCCAACAGTAATTCTACAAACAACGCAGATAGCGACAACGGCTTCATGAAAACGCTTCTACCACTTATAAACACTTTCATCACTCAACTCATGCAGAAAATAATCGAAAATCTGCCAGTCATCATAAATAGCCTAAATCAAAACACTCATGGTTCCCCATAACTCAATTTTACTAAATTGGAACGCCAACGGTATCAAACCTCAAAGGAACTCCTTAATGGCATTCCTTCACCATCATAATATTGACATAGCTTGCATAACCGAAACACATTTATCTCACACGGACAAAATTAAATTCCCCGGCTATAAAATGTACCGCGCGGATCGTAACGCACCGGCACGCTCTATGGGCGGCGTACTGCGTAGCAATACTGATACGCAACAAAATTAAACACCAACATTTTCCAATTCCTGTTCTTCATAGCTTAGAAGCCACTGACTGCGGTCCTAATTGATTTTAATAATCGATCTATTCTAATCGTCAGCGCTTATCAACCACCTAGCCGCACAATGCACATCGCCGATTACGACAATTTAATGAACCTACACAATAACATTATAATGGCCGGTGATTTAAACTCAAAACATATTAATTGGGGTTGCCGTGTCACGAATCCAAACGGTAATAAACTACAAAAATACATATCTACATCTGCATGTATAGTATCTGCACCAAGCACACCAACTTATTTTCCTTCGGATATGAATAGACTCGCTGACATACTAGACATTCTAGTAACCAAATCAATTCATTTCAACGTCGCACAAGAATCCCTCTCTGAACTCGACTCAGATCACAATCCAGTAATAATACATTTAAATTCTCCATTGCAATTTTACCGCCCAAATGTTTCACTTTTCAAAGGTAAACCAAATTGGTGCACTTACTCAGACTATATAAACAATAAATTAATTATTCCAAAAAATATAACTACTGTCTTAGCAGCAGACAAAATTGCCGAACATTTCACCGAAGTCGTTACTAACGCGGCACGGGCGTTAAAGTTGTTTACTTACGTAATTATTTTTATTTTTCAATATTTATCATAAATAAATTCTTGATGTTCCGTGTCAGTTTAAAAAATACGCAAGTATTAATTAAATATGTCATATAACAAATATCAATAAATAGGTAATGTTACATTCGTCACTATAGGTATAGGTAGTCAATTTCAGTACGAGATCGGGCATTCGGTTCGAAGTTCGAATTATTGAATAATAATATTAACTGTAGACGACTATATATGGATAAAAATAAATACCATTTGAATTGAATGTTTGGAGGCATGATAAAATTAAATAGGTGTGTTAGCAATGTTCCAATTTGGAAACAAATCGCGCATCCACGATCCACCCTCCACCCGGCAAAAGAATATGGTGTAAGCATATAGCCGTTTCTCATTGGTCCGCCGCCGATACTGCCGTAGTGCCGTCTCCAATGACGACTCCACCACCACTTCACCCGTTCCCGCAACCACGGATTAATAATAATTTAATATATATTCTGTATTTCTGTGACCGCAAGCCAGTGGGAAATGCTACGTCAAAGATACGCATTTCATGAAGTTGATTTCAAACCTGTGGTAACAAGTAAAAATAGATTTTCGTTTAATAGGGCACAAGTCCAATGATATTCTTATTAGAATGATCAAATAAAGTTTTACATTTATTTTCACATATTTTTACTCCAACCCAAATAAACTATTTCCTAAATCCAGAGAATTAAATAGTAAAATGGAGAATAGATGACGTTACAGGAGCACCTTCTATAAGAGGTATATCACCAAAAGCCTAAACCTTAAGAGGATTTTAGAAGTATCCATTACCATGTTTGTAAAGTATTTTGTGTACAACTTCTATTATGATTATAATTTAAAACGATTTTAGGTCCATCCAATTTTGCGAACTTAGGCCCAAAAATAAAATAGAATAAAATGCCCATAATGACAATTATCGCGATAAAGAAACCTGTAGATCAACTCAATCTTATCGGTAGGTAGAGGAACATTTGTAGGCCGCATATTGGACCGTTACCAAAAATTTCCAATTCAACCTGGAGTCTTAATGTGTGTATTAGGTACAGTTAAGTATATCACAACTACTTAATCGTACAGTAAAATATTAATTTAATTACAGGCATTTCTATGGATGAAAATGAAAAATTAGTATATTGTGTATCATTTGATGAAGTTTACATGTCTCATGATATTTATTATAGATAAAATATTCAATCAAGTCATTTGACCACACCACTGATTTATATCTAAAACCGTGGATCACACAAAACGGTTCAAATAGTCCAGAGGTATTTTTAAATCATGAAAACATTGTTTTTTATTGATATGATACACCCATGACAAGTGACATATTATTAGAGATTATCATTAACTTATTTACTGTCGTGTCTGTGACAAGTGATATAGGTTCAATGTACATGGGTTTATCGTTTATGGAAGTATATCAATATTTCTCATGCAAATAGTTAATTTAATCTTCCTTTAATGCCTGATATTAAAATTCATGTTTTTGCTGATGCCTCAATTTTTGTTGAAACCTAATTAGAAACAACTTTCTTGACCTCCCTAATTTAAACAATTAAAACATCAAATTTAAGTTTAAATTTTTTTTAACAAAAGTAATAAGTATGTAGGGAAATTTATAATAGAAGAACTATTGAAGATCCAAAGTTAAGGTGAAAATGATATGAAATTTTCTTTTAGAGTCAGTGATTTTCATATTGATAATGGTAGTACACAGGCACACAGCTGAAAAAAGTTAAGACAGCAGCCCAACATTTCTCCAGGACAGTATCAAAAGTGATAGAATATTATGGATTCAATCACAAATTCCAACTATCAAACTAGAAATAAGTATTGTACATTAAACAAGTTAATTTAAAACTATTTTTATATTTTTATCTATTAATTTTTGAAGGCTGCAGAATCTATCCTTCTGATAAATAATTGATTTGACTTATTCAACAGCCAAAATATGGTTGGAGATAACTCCATGGCATATGGTATGAGTATTGTAGATCAAATTGTATCTGCAAAACAAAATATCACCTTACCAAAAATACATTATTACAGAAATGTAAGTATGATATTTTTTAATAATTTGGATTAACTATAATTTTTTATTGTGTTGTCAGCAACTATAGAATCAAATTTCTCCAATTAAGAAGACTCCAACTAGAACAAGTTTCAATGTTCATTCTCCAAACCTGTTACCGTCATCTAAAAAACGTAATTACACTAACAATGTTTATAATTTACTTAGTTTCAATGTTATTTGCTTATTTTTAAACTATATAATTATTACATTATTATGTGACAATAAAATGATATGTGTTCAGTGTGCTCCACATAACTATAAATATGAACATGCATGATTTAATAAAAGCCAGTCATCTGAAAAATCATTATACTCAATAAGAAAACGCTACGTCACTACCCATGCATTATTTGTTGTATCCATCTTTTGCATGTACGACATTACACATTTTTGTTCAGTAGTTTTAAAAGTGTACTGTTAGTTTTGATATTTGAGTGAATTGATCTATTATCAAACTTTTAGGTAAAAAGTGTATCTGTGCCTAAGTGTCAGCTTTTTTTAAAATTTCTATGTCATTTATTTGCCTTAAAAAGTTTATAATTTTTATCTAAGTTTACTAATGGACAAACTCGTGCATTTAATGCTGTATTAATATATTATAATGATATTATTAAATGGATATTATAAGAATATTCATTTTAGGAAAATGACTTAATTAGTTTACCTGCTGTCAACCGCCTAATTATACAATAATAATATTATAATATTATAATCACAATAATTTTTTGTAGAAGTTGCAAAATAGTGTTTGTATTAAACGCATGATGCTCAGGGGTAAACATGGATTTGCTGCATGTACATGAGATGTGTACAGGGTTGGAAAGCTTGACAGAATTTAAATGCGAGATAAGTAAATAACTTTAATATGTTCCTTATAAATATCAAGGTTAGTACATAGGTAGTATGTGATAATAATTTGCAAATTTAACTTAGTTCTTAACTTATTAAGTTTTATTTGTCAAATAATTTACATTTTTTATAAACAACAGAACATGTTATTAAAGAGATAAAGAATGTTACTTATGCATAAAATACTATACCCTATTCTATAATTTTTTATTATAAATAAAAATTATTTGAAAGATTCAATTGAAACTTATACAATTTTATTCAACATAAAAATATGATAGTCATGGGGCAAGTTGATGAAATTGACAAACCTACATAAATTATTTCTAAAACATTAGATACTAAATAATAAACGACAAACCAACAAATTGCCATATATTCTTAGTATATGTGAATCATCTGCAAAAAAACGAAGAAAATCTAACCATTAGAAGTAGCAGGATAACTATTCAAACCTCAAGCTAGTCAATTTTCCCCACTCTCCCTAACTACCATATTTTTCTTTCTAAACTACTACAGTTTTATTTTTTACAAAAACATATGGTATGCAGGTGTTAACATCGTTACAGCAAGTTACAATATTATGTATAACAAACATGGGCACACGCAACAAAAATATAAGAACTGCGTTGTTAGTACAATAATTCTATATATAGACCGAACACAATTATTAAAACCTTTTCTTAAATATTAATTTTACCAAGCATTCAATTAAGCTTCATGTTAAGAACTTGGTTTTCATAGCGACTTATACTATTTTCACAATGATCTAAGTGAATTATTAATATTCTTCTATTTACTTTCTCTTACATATTACTACCGATGTTTAAACTGGGTATTAATTAAAATACACAATAAGAGTGAACATCGATATTTGCATTCATGCAATAATCCTGATTTATCCAAACCTTGTAATATTAGTACTCATTAGTTTCATATTATCAGCCATACTGACATAATCAGTGGTTTAATTAGTTAAAACGTTCAATAGAAAATTAAAAATTAGTAATTTATTTATGTTAAATGTACCTATGGGTAAAAGAAGGTTAGGTTAGTTTTACAAAATGTATAAATTAATTTTTTTGTTAGATAAAGAATACTTTCAAATTTCAACAATTTTTTTACATGTAGGTTCTACATTTTTAATTTCCGGGAAATCTGAATTTTAAAGAAAAAATATTTACCGTTTTACTTATAATTAAGTACCTATCCTTGCTGTATCCGCTGATGCCATGTGTTCTTTCATAATTTATTTCACAGTAGTTTTCTTCACGTCTAGTGTTGATGATTTAAATATTTCTTGGAATATAACATAATAGTATAATACCCATGTAATACAGACTATAGGTTGATAGTCGGTGTATATATCAAAGACTTACAAGTTTTCTGTTTAAAATATATATTTTTAGACTGTAACATTTGTTCTGACATCTAACAAGAGAAGAAACAATATTTTTTTGTGTATACAAAATATGTTTTTTATTAATTTACCAAAATAAACCTCACACACACTTTAATGGTGGGTCGGTCATACACATTTTGTGAATACCTAAAATTTAAATACATGGTTCAAACACAAAAAGGTGTACATACAATTTTGAAAAAAAACACATTTTGACATTAGGAAAAAAAATAGAGCAAACGTGCTACTAAAAAAAAAAAACACCGGTCAGGAGACACAAGGAGATGAATGTACGATATGGCGATTGGGTGCAAATTTGTACGTTTGGCTACTGGTCACCTCCACAACGTTCCCACGACCGGTCCGGCGGATGAGTGACAAACTTGCTCGGCCGGCGAGGTCTGACCGAGAAGGCCATGGGAGCAATGGTCGACGGCGGCTAGTGCGCGATGTTGTGAGCTTTGATGGACGGAGCTGACTTCCGTGGACCGTGATCCTTGTGACCAAGACACATCTCTAGTCTCTACCACTCACCACGCGCCATAAGTCTCCGCAGTCGCCGCTATGAGTCGTCATCGTCGGCGCGGGATCGTTGTCAGCACCGGTACCTCTATCAGCCGCCGTACCGTCGTCTTTGTTGGCCGTGGCTCCACGCGACCGTAGTGCTGCAGGACGGTCGCCGAACACCCAGAGTCTGGCTACTCTGGCACGAGTAGCACGTCAACGTCGACCGAGTGCACTACGTCCGCGAAACCCGTAGCAACATTGGTGGTCGGAGAATGTGTTCAGGCACATCGACAGGCCCCAAAGTTCACATTATTCTGCGTGCGACGTTCACCAAACATTGCCACACGCATCTTTTAGATCTCTTCCAAACTGATCTGCGTGCAGGTTCACGTGGGATTTCTGCCGACTGCACGGGCGGGAAAGAGTTCACTCCACGGTATACTGAGCTCAGGGGACGACTGGATATTAAATTGAAGTTTGTGCCGCAGCTGCAGTGGCCCGCAGAAGCCAGTGATCGACGGCCTATGTAGTCCATGTCCACCGTCTATTCTTCAGTCATGAGAAAGCATGACTGCATGACACCGGTGGTGGTGTGGTCTAATAATATGATAAACAGATAAAATAAAATAGTGTAAAATTCGTGAAGTAATTTAATAGGAAGTGGCTATTTCCGCGTCCTATGCTGTGATTGGTCCAAATATTGATGATATCTTATCACTAAATTATCATTGCTGATTTGATTTCCGCCTTAAATCTTAATTAAAATGTTTAAATGGGATGTGTAATTTAAGATAAATTATTATTTATAAAATATACATCCTAGACCGGATATGTTATTCAGTGGATAAACCCACAGATAATAAGATTATTCTTGTAAAATTTTTTTTCCTGTTTTCAAGACAGTAGACATATAGACTGTTCTATTATATTTGAGTGAAGTAAAGTGTTTTGTCAATTTTATTTTTATTAGTGAATAGCTGTGATATTATAAATTATAATCAAAAGTTATGGCAATTGGCAGGGGCTCAATCTAATAGTGAAATATTAAAAAAAGGTGATGAGTTTTCACTATTATTATTATTTATTATCATTAGGCAATTTTTGACCACTACCCACGCCAGAGAAGACTTGACTCTGATGCTAAGTCAATAGCATCAAGGTTAGTGTCAATGAAAGTCAATAAAAAAATATTACAAAACGAGTTGATGACACAACATAATAAAATTATAACTTTAAAGGACATACACAACTTGGCTTTAACAAATTCCCCCAAGTTAGATGCTTTAAAGTCATTGGTTGAAAGTTTTAAAAGCAAACAAGGAGTTACTTTGGAAATATCAAAAAATAATAAAAATGAGTTAAGTGCCATATTTTATCAAGATGATGAAATGAAAAGAATATTTGCGTTGTGTCCTGAATTGCTATTTGTAGACGCAATTTATAAAGTCAATGATTTGATACTACCACTATATGTATTTTTAGGTTTGCACAATTTCAGCATTTATGTTTCGCTAACCTAACCTATTTTAAGCATGAATAAAAGCGTATATGTTATTTTACATTTGCAGTTGTCGATAGCAATGGGCAAAGTGAAGTTGTCGGTTATTGTATCTTAACATCAGAAGACTTAGAAACTGTCACACATATGGCTTCAGTTTTTAAACAACATAATCCAAGATGGTCAGAAATCAAATGCATTATGGCCGACAAAGACTTCACAGAAAGAAATGTTTTTAAAGAACAGTTTTCCCAGTCTAAAATTTTAATTTGTACATTCCATAGTATGAGGTCATTTTCACGTGAAATAACTATAGAAAAAATGAAAATAACGACAGGTTTTCACTTTAAATATTATGTGCAATTTAGTATGCATTTTATTTTTGTTTTATTATTTTAGGACAAAGAACGCTTTGCCTACAATTGGCACAAGAAATGGTATATGCAAAAAATGAAGTAGATATCAAAGAATTCATGGCCAGCTAAAAGATACCAACATTACAAGTGTTGTAGACTATTTTGAAAAAAATTGGCATCCAATCAAAGATGAGTGGGTTGTATATTTATAGTCAAAATATATGACATTGGGTATTTAACTGAAGTCAAAACTGTTTGAATTTTATATTTATTGTAAATTATCCATGCATTTTTAGGCAACAAAACTAACAATCGATTGGAAAGTACAAACCAAGAAATAACTCAAGTTGTAACAAAGTTTTGTAGACTTAATCAATTATTTGAAGGTAAACCACCAAGATTACTAGTTATTCTTAATTAAAACACATTTGCAGAGTTGGAAATATTAATGGTTACATTAAGGACAGAGAGAGATAATGCTGCTACTGAATGCTTTTGTAAGACACCTAGCTTTGTTTCAAAGTTAAGTCAAGAACAGCAGCAGATGTTTTGGCATTTGACTCCTTTTGCTTTTGACCTTATTTTGCCAAAATTTGACTCAATGAATATAGTACAAATAGTTTCTGTTGATGAGCTAAAAAAAACTGTCAAAATTAAATCAAAAGAAGGCATAATAGAAGTTTCTGAGAACAAATGTGCTTGTTCGTTTGTAACAAGCTTATGCTTACCTTGCCATCACATATTTAAAATTAGGCAGATCAACAATACGTCCTTATATTGTCCAGAATTGTGCGCAGAAAGATGGTCGAGGAAACTGCTCTCCAACAAGTTATGGAGATCAAGCAAATGAATCCTTCATGGATATGTACATCTTGTCACGAGGATTCATCTAACAACTCAATTTGTTGCAATAGATGTTTAGATTGGTTTCATTTTAAGTGTGCCAATGTTAAACCAAAATTAAAAAAAAAAATACGGTCTTGCAGTATTTGTAAAGTAACTTATGATTTATAACTTAACGAACTCCAAACACATAACTATTTATGACTCCATATTAAATAATATGCATTATACATTGTGATTTTTAGAATTTTATACTTAATTTTATAAAGCGATGTTTTTAAATCTAACCTAACCATGAATGACTGAATTACATTAGGCATTTGACATTTATTTTATAAATATTTATGTAATATACCAATCTTATACTACTGAACCATGATTTAATTAAAATATTTTTTTTTTTCTATTTATTTTATTAAATAAAAGTGTATTTACAATCTATACATACAGTGTATAATAAGTAAGTGTGGTGACTTAAAGAATATAACAATTAACAATAATAACAATTAAAAGAGAAGGAAGGCTCCCAGCAGTGCCACCTGACAAGAAATTACGGTTTGAATTTTATTTTAATTCATTTTATCATAATTATTTTTTTTTTAATTAGGTATTGAGCAGATCTCTTGGTCATTGTCTTTTTAACCTTCTAGGAATAATAGAGGCAGAGGATAAACTTTTAATTATGGGGTTTGAATGAGCGCGGAGGGTTGAGTGGAATTTTGAGTAATAGGATTTGGCTAAGTCGTTGAGGGTTGGTATGTTCAGATCTTTGTGGAGATTTTTATTGGTAACATACCAAGGGGCAGAGGTTATTAGGCGTAGACATATGGATTGGAATGCTTGGAGAGTTTTAGTATTTGATGGTTTTGCTGGCCCCCAAAGTTGGATGCCGTAGAGCCAAGCCGGACGGATTATCGATTTATATATCGTAAGTTTGTTGGTTAAAGAAAGTTTTGATTTTAATAGGGGTCTCAAAAGATGTAGTCTGGAGTTTACTGATTTACGTTTATGTTTTATGTGCGAGTTCCAGTTGAGGCGTTTGTCAAATAATTAACCCTAGGTATTTAACTTCGTCTGACGAAGGAATTATTTGGTTGGTTGTTAAATGTAACAGGAGGGCAGACAGATTTGCGCAATGTAAAAGTTACATGAGTATACTTCGTTTCGTTAATTTTTATTTTCCAACGTTTTGTCCATAAGTTTATCATATTAAGGTGACTTTGGATCATCCGACAAGCAGTTCCGGAATCCTGGTGTGAAGCTGAAATTAGTGTGTCATCGGCATATGTGCCAAGAAAAGTGAAGGGTGTTTTGGGGATGTCATAAGTGAACACAGAATAAAGAAAGGGGGCGATGTAAATTTTAAATTTCAATTATGTCGGTATTCAGTAATCATAAGACATTATCAATATTTAGACCAATCACAGCATAGGACGCGGAAATAGGTAAATACGCGTCGGACGTGGAAATAGCCACTTCCAAGTTCCAATTTAATATATAATTATATTATGTACATACCACGGATATAGATACTAGTATCTTTCCGATTAGAAGATTTTCCGAGTATATCGTCATTGTAATCATCGTCGCCGTCTCCATCATCATCATCAGTCTCAGTATCGTTGTCGGTCTCATCATCATCATTTTGGTCGAATGTTTAGGTCTATGATGCTGACTAAGCGGTGTGAGGGTGGGTGACTAATGACTATGGTGGAATTCACTAGAGAATATCTGATAATAATCTAATGTTCATGGGGTCACCCAAGCTATCTAATCAGACCAATTATGTTGCGTTAAATACTATAATTGTAAATCGTAACTACGAGAAAAATGTACTTTTTCAATAAGAACATTTGACCCTGCTTCATATTGGGTGTTGTGGTTCCGTTTTCCATTCTCACAAATTTTTCCAGTTTCTGATTCATTTGTTTTTTCCAATTTTTCGAGCCGGTTTTCTCTAGTTTTCGGGTGTTCCCCGTATTGGCCGTATTGTTCCTACGAGTAAGCCTGAAATAAAAAGTCGCACCGTGAAAGTGCAGTGTACCGCAGTGATGACACACGTCACGCTAGGGCTGGCGCCTAGCGGTTGAGCTCCGTTGAGTAACCTGTATATCTAAAACCGTGTCCGTGACTAAAATCCACATTTCTAACAGTGTTACCTATTACAATATAAATTATTTTAAAAAGTGTATCAAATCTTTGTGTATATGTTGCCTATACTGTATAATTTGTATCATAATATTTTGGCTTTGGTAATGTAAGTTGTAATACACGCGGCCGCGGCGCTGTCCTATAGGCTATAGTCTATTGCATTATGCTGTCATGCTGTGGCGCTGTGCTGTTCTTCTGCGCACGTTTAACATTTATTATTATTAGTTATTACTTAATATTATTATACTATTATCGAATGCAGTTAATAGTCAATGCTGTGTGCTCTGTAGTTAGTCTGTTATTTAATTCGTTGTAGCCTTTTAGCTTGTCTAAGCTTATAAGTTAACATGGATAAACTAACTTGCGATCAAATAGCCGAAATCATAACTAATGATGAATCAGCCGACCAGCCTAGTGATTATGATAGTAGTTCTGATGAATCTGATTGTGAAGACTTAGCACAAGAAATTAGGGAACAGCTAGTATTTAAATTGACCAAAAATAACAGATCAAGTACTATTATTTCCTCAAATTCTGTTAGTGACGTAAGTTTTACATCAAAAAATGTATTGGATAAAAAAAAATAGTACATTTGATAATACACTCGGCTTCAGCTATAATAATGACGATGATCCGTATTCATATTTAAGTTCTCCAGAAATTTCTATTTCGAATGACAGATAAATTCATTTGACATAGAAAATATGGCAGTTGTCTTTGATGACAATTATGTAGTCTATACAAATACAGCAACACCAAACACTAATACAAAATATATACAGCACTACACAAAATAACAATAGTAACAACTGTTATTTTGATATTAATTCTGACATCGGAAATCGGAAAATTTAGAACTATGTATTTTCAAACACATTTTTGACTTGGTGCAACATATTGTTGATGAGACAAATAAGTTCTACCATTTTTTAGTAAGGAATACAGTTTTATCAAAAAATTCTAAGCTTGGTAAATGGAAAGATACGAATTTAAATGAATTGTATGTATTTTTTCTTTTATATACCTATTGTGATGCGTAATAAATAGATACGATATAATGCAAACCCTACCGTTATAACAGTGCAGAAAGATTATATTTTGGTACCTTCAGTTTCCAAGTATACCATTCTGTTACTTAGACCACGTATACATATGGTATAAATCCCTAGGTATAAAACATGACCCTCTTTTTAGGGTTCCGTCCCCAAAGGGTAAAACGGGACCCTATTACCATTGATTAAATATATTCAAAATCAATGCTATTACTAAGACTTCGCTGTCCGTCCGTCCGTCCGTCCGTCTCTCACCAGGCTGTATCTCATGGACCGTGATACTTAGATGGTTCAAATTTCTACAGATGACGTATTTCTATTCCCACTACAATGACGAATACTAATAATAAAATAAAATAAATATTTAAGTGGGCTCCCATACAACAAACGTGATTTTTACTCGTTTTTTGCTGAATATTTATAGCGGCAACAAGAAGACGCTTTAAATATTCACAGAATATTGATTTATAATATTTACTTCAGAAATAAATAATTTATTTTTTATTTTTTCTCCTTCCTCAAATAAATTCTAGACAAATAAATTCAAATATTAGACAAATATTAAAACAGAATAAAATAAATATTTGAGTGGGGCTCCCCTACATGATATTGTTGCCGTACTTAATACTTTATAGAATATGGTACGAAACCCTTCGAGCGCGAGTCCGACTCGCACTTGGCCGGTTTTTAAGATGATACAAGTACAAAACACAAAAATAATTTTCAAATTTAATATCTGAGATCATTGTAACATATTGACATGAGTCTCCGTGGTACTATTTGCTAGAGCCAATAATAATTTGCAAATGTTGCAAGTCTCCGGCCCTGCTGAAAAATTACATTGTTCTTATGCAAGATATTATAGAATTACGGTTTAAGATATACTTTAAATATATATATAAACTATACAGTATATACTATATATTTAAGGTGTATTATCTGAATCTTAAATAATTGTTTAGGCGGAAAAATAATAAATACTTTTTTTTTTGTATTACAATTAAGGCTTCAACTACTACTAGTCATTAGCCAGGCGTACTGTGTGGGGGGGACGGTTGGTTGGAACACGTATGATGTGTGGCAAGGATTTTATTCCTAAAAAGAACGTTTCCACAGATTAAGTGTACGACCGTGCCACCCTGCAATAAAATAAATATTTTGTAGCATATTTTCAATATAATAGTAATAGTTTATATCTATAGCTACCAATTTAATAATAAACAAAAGCATCGATTGATCGAATTCGAAAAAAAAACATTGACTCTGTCAATTTATAAAGGAAGGTTGTCTCTTCATAGTTAAAAATATTTTCCAATATATATCAATTATGAAGTTTTCGTCTGCTATCATAATAAGTGCTTCGATAGCCGATAGGTATCGGATGCGTTACCGTCTGGTACTTGAAACGCTGTTCTCGGCTGGCCACTGAACGTAATGTCAAACCTCCAGCATGCTCCAAACAAGTGGATTCCAGAGTAAACTGATACTATTATTTATTTGTAAATTTATTATATATTATACTTGATGTGTTTATTTTTAAAAAAAATCCCTTCAGATTCAGTTGTATAGTATTGTGGAAACCGGAACATGGGGGAGAAATTACGGACACGCTAGATCTCTAGAGGTAAAATGTTCAAATGGATATAAAATAATAATGGATGTGTTGGGGTAACATTGAATAGGTATAATTACCAATAGTAAAAAATGTTGATTTCGGTTGAAAACAGATATTGTTTTTTATCCCTCGAAATTTTTCGATTGCCTATATTATAATGCGGTAGGTAAATACCTAACCTATTTGCTATCCACAAAATAAAGCCTTGAAGATTCAAGTCTGTCTTCTTTTTTTTTGCAAATCCAACGGCAGCCAATCATTTATGGACTTTCAAAAATGGTTTGATCACAGTACTGATAAAATATATGGATTTTGAACGTCATACAACACAAAATGTCAAACAATATAATATACCTAATATAAATAAATATAATACTATGAACAAATAATACAACAAATATATATTGCAACAATAGATATAATAAATATATAAAACACAACATCAAAAAACCATTAGGTTGGGGTTATTAATAATAATGATGATACAACATATGCAATATAATTAATACAAACAATGCAAAACGATTGTTATGATAATTTGTATACAAGTCAAAAATTATGCATGAAAAAAACGTATTCATCAAAAGGTATAATCGATATTGTTTGAATTATTCGTTACTATATATTGTTATTTAAATGTCATACACTCATACATTTTAATATTTGAAAACTGGTTCGCAAAAAGAAAAAAAAGTATGTGAAAGACAATGTGTTACCAAAATTATGTGTTTGCACGAGAGAGCAAAAAAAAAAAATGCAAACAATTTATAATTTTAAAAAAAGTTCCGAAAAAGGAGCAACAATATAAGCATAAGGTAAATCGATGTAAGTAATAATGAATAAGTGTACCCATAATTGCGCTCTTGTGTGCCCAAACAATAAAATAAATTTTGAAATTTTGAAAAAGACAAAATATATAACTATATGTATTTTTTTAAATTGACTATAATTTGGTGACGGTTCCTATTGGCTTTAATTGATTAAATTCGTCGGTGTTTGCAATTGCTAATGCAATGAATAAAATACATTTTGAATTTTAAAATTTGTGAATGGATCCGAATAAGGTAAAAACATTGTGAAAAAGACAAAATTATGTTTTTTTTTTTTTTTATAAATTGTTTATTAGCTCCGGCGACAGGGGCCATTGGCTTTATTATATTGCAATATAATAAATATACATGTATATTCATCGGTTATTTATTGCAATAATAAATGCAAAAAAAAAATTAGTTAATAATGTAAAATTGTGTAATATAGGACCGAAAAGTCAAAAAAAAATGTATGAATGAAAAATGTAAAAATAAAATGAATTTTGAATTTAAAAACTTGTAATGGATCCAAAAAAGTTAAAAAATAATGAAAAAGACAAAATTATATGTTTTTTTAAAATTGATTATTAGCTCCGGCGACAGGGGCCATTGGCTTTATTATGCCATATTCATGGATGATTGCGTGATGAATGCAAAAAAATAAAATAAATTTAGAATTAAAACATTTTTAATAGATCCGAAAAGTCAAAAAAAATGTATTCATGAAAAATGTAAAAAAATGAATTTATAATTTAAAACTTGTAGTAGTTCCGAAAAAAATGTGTAAGAAAGACAAAATTATGTCTTCTTTAAAATTGATTGTTAGCTCCGGTGACAGGGTCACTGGCTTTATTATATTATATTCATAGGTAATGATAAATGAAAAAATAAATAAATTTAGAATTTAAAAATTTGTGGTGGTTCCAAAAAAAATTTAAAAATTGTAAAAAAGACAAAATATATAATTATATATATTTTTTTAATTGTCTTTTAGCTCCGGCGACCGTTGCCATTGGCTTTATTATATTATATTCGTCGGTGATTGCAATTATTAATGCAAAGAATAAAATAAATTTAGAATTTAAACATTTTTAATAGGTCCGAAAAAGTTAAAAACATTGTGAAAAAGACAAAATTATATGTTTTTTTAAAATTGATTATTAGCTCCGGCTACAGGGGCCATTGCAGGCTTCATTATATTATATTCATATAGATAGTTGCAATGATAAATGCAAAAAAAATATCGATATACCGTAGATTGAAACCTAGACTATAATTAGTTGAAATATGTTAAATAAATTAAATTAAGTTTTTACGTCGTAATTTATAAGCATATACACAAAGCCTAATAGCCTATATACAATTAAAATTAAAATAGATTAATACTAATTATTTAAAATAAGTTGGAAATATAAAAATCTAAGATAACAATAGGTGTTACATCTATAAACAATATAAACATCTACAACAACTCAAGTCAATACCAACGTACCATAGAACGGTATGAATAGGTTAGTGATATAGGTAATATTATCATAAAA